ATATATATATATATGCAAGTTGCTTCCTCCTCCTTTAGGAAGCAGCCTCAAGAGGCTGGGAGGAGAAGACCCAGGTCCTTCCTGCAGCACTGCATGTGACCTGGCAGAGGTCTCTGATCTGTCCCACCCGTACTCCATGTAGGTCACACAGTACCAGAGCGAGAGACAGAGCTGGGGAGGGAGGGGGTGCAGTGCCAAGGAGGTGACCTGGCAGGCTCGGGACCCCCGATGTTTGTGCTTTTAAGTTTGAGGAAACAGAAGAACACACGCTCCTCTCACCATTTCCAGCGGTCTTCCCCAAGCTCCACCTCCAAGAATTCCATGGACCCTCCCACATGTTTTCCCCAAGCCACAATTTCACGGGTGGAAATGTGTTCTCTATGCCCCGACATTGCCTAATTGCTTGATTCCTTGCTTGTGAACCGTTGCAGATTCTCACGGACTGGACACAGGACTGGGATTCTTTTCACGTGAGCTTTGCTTTCTGGCACCAGACTTTAAATCCCAGTCAATCTTCTATGGGAGGCACCACAAAAAAGCTGTTAAGAGGCAATGCGCACAGTGCCATGCACCCGCCCTGGGGCCGCGGCGCTCCCGAGCCTGGCGTCCACGGAACGTTAGTCCGTGCTCATCCATGCTGAGTCCGCCGTGGCGTGAGCACCGTCACTGTCCGCAGCAGCAGCAGAGAGGTGTCCTTCAACAAAAGCAGACACTTCCCCTGGCAGAGGGTGGCAGGAAGGACTCCCGATATTCGCGCCCGATGGGGCACAACTCCAGGAGACTTCGGGAAGAAGACAATCCCACTTAAGAACAGCAGCCTTCTGGAAGGGCAAATGGAACCCGGAGTGTTTGGGTTGTCAACTACTGTGTACGCTGCGTCTTCAGAAATTCAAAACCACACGATAGAAAGCCATTACAGCTGACCTAAAGCTGACAAGTCTATCTTAATGGCCCATAGCTATAATTTATAAATCATGCATGAATCAGACTGCCATTTATGAAAGCCGAGAAGTTTGGAGTTTTAGGATTTGTTTCAACAGAGACACAAAAGAGGAGTTGGCAGTGGATTTCAAGCCTGTGGGAGGTGGGGGGCATTCTAAAGAATGAAGCCTCGACTCAGGCAAGCTAAGGCTTTCCAAAACAAGCTTTTGGAAAACAAGAAG